CCAAAAATACCCTGCACCCCAAAAACCGCACCCCAAAAACCAGATCTGTACCCCAAAATTCCATCCCTGCACCCCAAAATGTCCCCCCTGCACCCCAAAATTTCCCCCCTGCACCCCAAAATTCCATCCTTGCACCCCAAACTCCACCCATGGACCCCAAAATTCCACTCCTGCACCCCAAACTCCACCCCTGGACCCCCAAATTCCCCCCCGGACCCCAAAACCCGTCTGACACCCCCTCTCCCCCCCGCAGGGCGCGTTCCCCCCGTGCGTCCCGGTGAGTCTGGGGGGGCTGGGGGGGCCCAGGTGGGTTTGGGGGTCCCCAGGTGGATTCTGGGGGGTCCCCAGGTGATCTCAGGGGTCCCCAGGTGGATTTCGGGGTCCCCAGGTGGATTTGGGGGGTCCTTAGGTGAGTTTGGGGGGTCCCCAGGTGGATTTTGGGGATCCCAGGTAATTTCGGGGGTCCCCAGGTGGATTTTGGGGATCCCCAGGTGGGTTTGGCGGTCCCAGGTGGATTTTGGGGGTCCCCAGGTGAATTTTGGGGGTCCCCATGTGATTTGGGGAGGTCCCAGATGAACTTTGGGGGTCGCCAGGTGAATTTTGGGGTCCCCAGGTGAATTCTGGGGGTCCCCAGGTGAATTTTGGGGTCCCCTGACCTTTGTCCCCCTCCCTCCCAGGACGCCCCCCAGGTCACCCCCATCTACCCCGACTGTAACCTGCCGGTAAGTGGGGAGGGGTCCCCCCAAAAACCCACCCCTCCCCCATCGGGGGGGTCCCCGGGGGGCTCCCCAGGTCCCCCTCAAACACCCCAAACTCCCCCTCAAACCCCCCAAAATCCCCCCAAAACCCCATGAAATCCTCACAAACCACCCAAATCCCCCCCAAACCCCCCAAATCCCCCCTCCAGGTTCCACATCAACCTGCGGGCGGGCCCGGGGGGCGACGTGCTGCTGCACCTGAACCCGAGGATGGATGAGGGCGACGCCGTGGTCCGGAACTCCTTCCTGGGGGGCAGCTGGGGCCACGAGGAGCGGGACATCTCCTGCTGCAGCCCCTTCCAGCGCGGCCGCTACTTCGACGTGAGCGGGGAGGGGGCTCGGGGGGG